TTCAAAATTGGTCTCGCAGAGAGTTTTTCTTTGTAATTTTAGGGGGTAAATTTATTTTTTACGCTTTCTCATCGCCACTAGCAATTGGTTGATTTGGTTCTCATCAAAAGTAGTGGAAAGCAGCCTTCCCATGTAGATATATAGATATATAGATTAAAAATTTAAAAAAAAATTAAAAAAGTGTGTTGTCATTTTCCCTAAATTTTATTTATAAATTTGAACAATAAAAAAGTATTTTTAATCTATAATAAATTACACTTCAAGTTTTGATTATAAATTGGAGATAAAAATTATTTTTTTAGCAAATTAAATAGATTTAAAATACATTTTATAAGTTATAAATAATTTATTTTTCAAAAGTATAAAATAATTAATTGTTATAAAAAAATGTGTTGTTAAATTTTAATTTTAGATTTCTTATTTTATAATCAGAATTTGTTATTTTCAAATGTATTGTTGTTATCACTTGGAATAAAATGTGTTGTTATATAAAAAAAAAGGTGCTCTTAAATTTTAATTCCAGACTTGTTATTTTATAATCAGAACTTGTTATTTCCAAATGTATTGTTGTTATCACCTGAAAAAGAGTGTGTTGTTATAAAAAAACGTGTTGTTAAATTTTAATCCCAGACTTGTTATTTTATAATCAGAACTTGTTATTTTCAAATGTATTGTTGTTATCACCTGCAACAGAGTGTGTTGTTATTAAAAAAAACGTGTTGTTAAATTTTAATCCCAGACTTGTTATTTTATAATCAGAACTTGTTATTTCCAAATGTATTGTTGTTATCACCTGAAACAGAGTGTGTTGTTATAAAAAAAACGTGTTGTTAAATTTTAATCCTAGACTTGTTATTTTATAATCAGAACTTGTTATTTTCAAATGTATTGTTATTATCACCTGCAACAGAGTGTGTTGTTATAAAAAAAAAACGTGTTGTTAAATTTTAATCCCAGACTTATTATTTTATAATCAGAACTTGTTATTTTCAAATATATTCTTGTTATCACCTGGAACAAGAGTAAATGAGTTAACTTATTTTTTTTTTGTATTATAATGTTAGCAAAAATTTGTTGGCTCAATAGTCATTCCTAATTTTGGGAAGCATGAGGTTGGGGGATCAAATCCCCCCAACCTCACTTCCCCCCAATTTAAAAAAAAAAAACAGTTTAAAAAAAAAAATAAAGGAAGGCCGCCGGAATCCGGCTGCCGGCGCCGGAGCTCTGGCGGCAGGCGGCCGAGGTGGCGGAGCTCCGGCGGCCGGATTCCGGCGAGGCAGTGGTGTTTTTTTTTTTTGAAAAAAAAATTAAAGAGGGGTATTTTGGTAATTTGACTATGATTTCATAATTGCAAATTGGAACCGGGTCTTTGTGAGCAATTTTTCAAATTCAGGGTCCCTGATTGCTATTTTATATATTGAGGAGTCTTTATTTGCAATTTTCTCATCTTTTAATTGCTTTAGACAAATTTTTTTTTAAAAGGCATTTTTGACTCAGAGACAAAAAGTGTTTGATGACCAAACATTATTTTGTGAAAATTTATGCTTACAAGAGACATCCCCCTACACAATGTGAATACTCAATATGTCAACATAAGCGAATTCGCCAAATTAACTTGTTCAAGCTAATATTTGGCTTTGGCAGTTGTTTGGTTAATTTTTTCAAATGATTTTAAGTCATATAAGATAAATATATAACGGAATTTTGTCTAATGAAATATATACATTTTTTTAAGTTAATTGTGCTGTTTTCCAAATAGGCACAGAGATGCTCTGGCTAAGGTATCAATATAATCACTAATCTTTTTATTTTTACTACTATAAAATATATTATTTTGTCTATTCTTGAAGTTTTTTTTGTCTGTTTAGGAGGTGATGTTGATAAAGAGACAGAAATAGTAGTTATATATTTCTCTGTTTTCAAATGAATAAATGGAGGCTCATATTTGTCTGTTCTACTTTAGAGCAGACGAATATAAATATATATTTTCTTAAAAAATAGTGAACATTTGCATTGCTAGTTTTTATTTAACCTGTAATTCTATGTATAAAATAAAACCAAAGCAAACTACAAAAGTGACAACAATTTGAAGCACATTTCTCTCAATACTAAGTACCTATAATATAATAAAGATAAAATTATTAAAAAAACCAACACTTTTTCAAACATATTTATATCCAATCACACTTCAAACAAGTTATATATGTGTTCAAATAACATCACATAGCTTTCTAAAATTGAACCTGGATATTAAAAATTGAGGATACTTAATTAACTACCCTATTAAGAAAACCAAATCAAAATTGAACGCCATTTTGATTTTTTTTTTAAATTTTATAACCAAATCAAATTTTTTAAATGCATAAAATTTACAAAAAAAAATAATTTATAAGTCCTTATAATTTTATTCAATTTTTAATTTGTCCCTAAAATTGTTTTTCTTTCAATCAATTGTTTCAAATTACTCCTCCGGTCTTTAATATAAGACATATTTAACTGATTTGCTTAAATTAAAGAAATTAGGTAAGTTGGTTAATTATAAGAAATATGATATGTTTTTCCTAAAATACCATAATCATTTTCCTTAATATCATCTTTTTTTCTTTTATTTGATTATGGTCAAGGAAGATCTATAGGGATAATTTAGAAAAAATTGATAAGTATGAAAAATAAGTTTTATATTTAAGATCAAAATTAACTTAACAACTAAATTCTGTATTAAGGACCAAGAAGTATTTCAGTTACATGCCTCACTCCTTCTCCTTCAACTAGAGAAAAAGTTTGCTAAGGACGAACATATTCCTGAGCGACATTAAACGAGCGAATTAAATCTTCTCTTTTCCATTGAGGGAAGAGGTGGATGATAAAACAAAAGAAAACGTGAGTTGAAAATTATAGAGAGTTACAAATTAATTTTCTCTCAAATTTATTGTATGTAAGGTTTTGACATAAATGAAAGGGAAAAAAATGATGAATGCAAATAAGAAATGTTATAAATCACATGCGAGCATTTAATATTTCAATTATTTTAAAAATCGCAACATGATCCTTTTTTTTTTTTTTTATGAGATCATTCTTATTTTATTTTTATTCTTGCACTTTCAGGATTTCAACCACTTCTCTATATTAACAAAAGTTACTATATAAAATATTTCCTTGTAAATGAAAGGGAAAAAAAAGGAACGCAGACAAGCTTGTAAATCACATAGATAACTTCACTCTTATGTCAGTAATTTACTAATTTTATTACTGATTCTCAATTATTATTAATTATTCTCTCTGGTTTTAAATATAGAAGATATATAATTAATTTGCATAAATAAAAAATTAGTTACATTAGTTATTTTTTTTTAAAAAAATGGATATAGCAAAATACTACTTTCAATTGTTTCTTTACCATGCATGGATACAAAAATTATAAATTTAGAAAAAAAATCTATGGCTTAGAGTAACTTTTCAGAACAAGTTTTGAAACAAAATTAAGAAACTGTGCTTAAATCATTATTCCGAAAAAAACTATCTAAAACTGTGCAATGAAATTTAGGGAACTTATATAAAATTTAGGAAAAATTACAATAAGGTTCATTCCAAAAGAATTAAATACAAAAAGATTTCTTAAAATCATCAAATTATCAAATTTTTAATTTAAATAATTAATCTAAAATCATGCTTTTTGTTTTAAGCCCAGTGCATCTTCCATGCGCTCGTTGCTCTTGATGTTTAGATTGGGAAAATAACGTATGTGGGCCATTCTGGAAAGTAAGAAATGACCACGACAACATTAAAGCTGGGACAGACTTTTTGAGATATCTCACGCGCAAACGAAGCAACGTTGAAATTTCGTTGTTGAAATCTTCTCTATGTACTTTTTAAACAAAAATAAAATCAGAAAAGAAGTTCATAATGAAGTACTTACTGGCTTCGTTGAAATCTTCTCTATGTACTTAATCTTTTCTTTAATTTTGTAGATTAAGAACTAACAAAACATTAAAAATATGTCACAATTTTTCTATTTTCCACAATAAATCTTCATTTTGTTTAAAGATTTATTATCTCGGTTGGGGCTTTGATTGGAAAACATATCGTAAAAGGAATAGGCAAAGAAGCATGTAATTGGGCAATCATTTTTGTGGGAAGAGGAATGTCTCTACTAATCCTTCTCTCCACTTTTTCTCTACTTAATTTTTTCATCATTAGATCAAATTTTAATAATTAAGATTTATTTTATAAAGATATTATTAAAATATTAAATAATAAAAAATATATAAACAAATTTGTACCATTAAGTGTTAAAATTTGATATAAGTAGTTTAATATGATAAATTTTTATTATATTAATATTATAATAATATTTTTACTTAATTTTAAATCTCAATCATTGGAATTTAATCCAATGATTAAAAAATTAAGAGGAAAAAGAAATTAATAGAGACATTATTCTCTCCATTTTGGTGGGGCATGTGATTTATGACATGACCAAAAGACAATAAAGGCTTGAGATTTCTGTTAACATTTCTACGTACTTTAAATAAAAAAAATCTCAAAAAATTAATTTTTGGATTTCAAAATCTCAAATTAAAGATTATTACAAAAATATATTGTAATTTGCTTTCTAATCACTATTAAAATACAAGATTTTGAAATTTCGCTATTTACATTCATTTACATTTTTGGATTGATAAAAAAATTATTATTTTAAACAAAAAAACAAAGTAACTTCCATAGAAGTTTCTAAGAACTTTTGTCTTGGGTTGGTGTAGAAAATTTCTCCATACTATAAATCAGAAACAAAAATCATACTGACGGAGCTTCCTGAATTTTCTAATTTTTAAACAGTAAAAACCAAAAAAAAAAAAAACTCTGTTGACTGGGAGTCAAAAAGGGCTACTGCCACAAGTTTTCATTATTTCGTGAAAATTTCCACCGGGAGCTTAGTTGGCTCTTGCCTCTTAAATGCAAACGATGGCTCAATGCTCACATACTCATTTTTCTGTTCTGCCGATCGAATTCCCAAGACAAGTGAACTAACCAAATTAATCGACTTCAAATCTTTCCAAGGTAAGATTTTATTTTCGAGTTTAGACGCACTCACCAAGGGATTAATCAGTATGATTTTTCTTCCTTAGGCGCTATTCTGTTTGTTCTTTATCAGAAATAATAAACAACTCACGAAACTTTGCTTTTTATCCTTCCAGCAATGGCATCTTCTGCTTCTTCTTCCCAAGTTCCTTGTGGCAAACATGATGTTTTTATCAGCTTTAGAGGATCAGACATTAGATCTGATTTTCTCAGCCATTTGAAAAGGGCATTGCGTCAAAAGAACGTAGATATCTATGTGGATGATAGGCTTGAGAGAGGAGAAGAAATATGGTCAGCACTTGTGAATGCAATAGAAGGATCCATGATTGCTTTGGTTATATTCTCGGACAATTATGCTTCTTCAAAGTGGTGCTTGGAAGAGCTAGTGAAAATCGTGGAATGTAAAAAAGCTAATCAACAGATTGTGATTCCAATATTTTACCGTGTGGATCCATCACATGTCAGGCATCAAACACACACTTATGCAGATGCATTTACTCATCATGAACAAAGGTTCCCGGACAACATGCACAATTTGGAAAATTGGAGATCTGTTTTGAAAGAAACTGCTCACTTATCCGGTTATCATTCATCAAATTTTCAGTAAGTTTTTTTGTCATTTAATACATCATCTTATAGAGTCTTAATTTTTTAAGCTTTTTCTTAGTTTGCCCCCAAAAAATAACTTGAAATACAATGAAGTTATGTCTAATTATGTCTGTGGACTTATTTTTATAATGAGTACCTATAATAATTTTATTTGTTTTTTACATGCTAGAGATGAATCTGAACTCATCAATGCAATAGTTGAAGATGTCTTTAAAAAATTGGAAGTTAACACTCCAATTGTACCAAGATCTCAGCTCATTGGATTTCATCAAAATTTCACTAATGTTGAATCATTAATGAAAATTGAGTCACCAGAAGTTCGAGTTCTTGGAATTTGGGGCCCAGGAGGGATAGGCAAAACAACCTTTGCTTCTACTATATTTGACAACTTCTTGTCTAAATTTGAAAGTCACTGTTTCTTAGAAAATGTGAGAGAAGAATCAACAAAGATTGGGTTAAGCTCTTTGCGTCAAAAACTTCTTTCCAAGCTATTAGATCAAAAAGATTACATAAATATGAATCACGCAATGAGAAGGTTGAAACAAAAAAAAGTGCTAATTGTAATTGATGATGTGGACAATCCAAAGCAACTAAAAGATTTGGCTCGACAACAACTTCACTTGGGACAGGGAAGCAGAGTCATTGCAACAAGTAGAGACAAGCATGTTCTTAGAAGTGGAGGGATTCATGAAAAATATATACATGAAGTCAGAGAATTGAGTAGAAAAGAATCACTTGAACTTTTCAGTATGCATGCCTACAATCAAAATCATCCCATTAAGGAATATGAAGAGCTATCAAATTTGACAGTTGCCTTGGCCGGAGGCATTCCTTTAGCTTTAGAAGTTCTAGGTTCCCATTTTCATTCAAGAGATGAAGCATATTGGAAAAGTGAGCTTAGCAAACTCCAAAAGTATCCCCATCAGGTATTCAAAATATATTGAAGGTGAGTTATGATGGGTTAGATAATATGGACAAGCGAATATTTTTAGACATTGCATTCTTTTTTGTGGGACAACAGAAAGGTCAAGTTATTCTTGTGCTAGAGGCTTGTGGTTTCAAAGCGGTTAGTGGAATACAAAATCTTATAGATAAAGCTCTCATAAAGTCAGATGGGTATCATCGTATTGTAATGCATGACTTGATACGAGAAATGGCTGAGCAAATAGTTCGTGAGGAATGTGTGAAACATCCTGAATTCCGTAGTCGATTAAATGATGAAGATGAAATATGTGATGTGTTAGAAAATAACAAGGTAAGGAAAGACAGTTCAATTTATTTCTTCTATTTTTTTATTTTTTTTATAGTTTTTATAAAAAGCTTAATGTTTATTTTCTTTTATTTTTCATTTAGGGAACCGATGAAATTGAAGGCATTTCACTGGATGTGTCTCGAATCAAATATTTACATGTGAGAGCAAACCCCTTCTTAAAGATGAAAAAATTGAGAATCCTCAAAGTTTTTAATGGGCAATGGTCTGAAACCATGTTTCCTTTTGATCTTGACTCTTTTCCTAATGCATTAAAATATTTTTGGTGGGATTATTACCCATGTGAGTCTTTGCCATCAGGCTTTTGTCCTGAAAACCTTGCTAAACTACGAATGAGCAGAAGCAATGTTACAAAGCTTTGGGATGGAGTACAGGTACTTTTATATGTACTAATCTGTATTTTATATAAGTTCAGTCAAATTTAATTTATTAGGGTTTTTGGGGTAATTTTTTTTGTTTTCATTATTATTACAGGATCTTGTGAATCTAAAGACAATTGATTTGAGCCAGTCCTTTGAATTGATGGAATTGCCTGATTTTTCTATGGCACATAAGCTTGAAAATGTAAATCTCTATGATTGTGTAAGTTTGAGGAGTGTCCATCCATCCATTTTATCTCTTCCCACTCTTGTTGCATTGGATGTATCTGGTTGCGGTAAAGTAGAGAGTCTTGAAAGTGAGACTCATTTAGAATCTCTTTCTAATCTCACGACTTCCCGTTGTGGCCTCAAGAAATTACGTTTGTCATCAAAGAAATTGAAACGGATAGATGTTAATGAAACTAGACTCAAAATATTGCATTTGCCAATTGGATATTTCACAGAGCTTATAGAACTTAAAATTGACGAGGGTGAATGATTGAGGAGTCTTCCAATAAATGAGCTGTGTTGCTTGACAAACCTTGAGGTGTTTGATGTTTGTGATTTCAAGCAAGAAATTCACACAGAGGAGCTGCACTCCCTTTTTGATGCTTGGCGTAATTTAGGAAGTCTATGTTTGATCGGGTGGAGTTACTTGTCGGGAATCCCTAGCAATATCAAGTGCTTAACAAGGTTACAACATTTATCATTGGACGAGAGTGGTGTGGAGACATTGCCAGCTGGCGTCAGCCATCTTTCAAGCTTGATAACAATTCGCCTGCGAGAGTGCAAAAGGTTGAAGTCTATACTTGGACTTCCTCCCATGCTTGAAGAATTATATGCCACTAATTGCACTTTATTGGAGACCGTATCCTCTGACTCTCTCCTTTTCAATCCGTGTCGCCTTCACTTCGAAAATTGTGTAAAGTTGGATGAGTGTTCGCTTGGCGTTATCGAGGAATCTGCTCATTCCTTATGCACTTCATCCCCTGTTAGGAGTCCTCGGCCACATCCTTTTGCTTGTTACGCATGAAACAAAGTTCCAAAGTGGATGAAATATAAACAAATGATAGGGGCTTCCAATACTATCCAGTTTACTTGCAATCTTGAACGAGCAATTAACATGTGGTTATGTTGCGTTGTTCCCCATTGTCATCTCAGATCACTGGGACAGGGCTGTTTTCTTTTCACTTGTTATTTCACTTGTGATGATGACAACATCAAATCCTCTTCTTTTTACGAAATTGGATTCAGAACATGTCATTGTGCAACCCATGGGGGTCCTATCTCGTGCTAGAACAGGTGCAACAGGTGCTGATATTAATATTTCATGTGAATTCTTTCTGGAATGGTGGGATTGTCTTGGAAAGATGCATTCTGACCACAAAGTCCCTGTTGAAGCATGTGGAGTACACGTAATATATGACTCGGAGTCGGAGCCTGGGTCGGGTCAAAAAGAAAGAGGGTTGCAGATATAGGCGTTGAAGATGGAGTCCCTCCCGCGAAGCGACTCAACAATTCTTGGATCTCTCAACCTACTCCCCTAGGACTGGCGTTGCAGTTGGGGTTACTTCATCTGTCACCCACTGCAACTCAAATTTATGCGCAAGAAGAAATAAGAGGACCCTTTGCAACTCAAGTTAAATATAAATTCTGACATGGTATAGTTTTTTATTAATATGCTCCAATCTCCTACTCTTCATTTTTTTTCTTTTCTCAAAAACAGATTCTGATTTTTCTTGGGGAGATTTTGCCATTAATCACTTGTATATTTCTTCTAAATTGTTCTTACCCTTTATTTTTGGTTTGCATCTTTGATTAGCTCCGGGGATGAGTACATTGGATGTAACCAGAGCAAAACTTGGCCTTTTGGTTTTATATTTGAACAAGGCTGAAGCCAGAAATGAAAATACGCAGCGCAAACGGTATGGTTTCGACTTTCTAAGTGTATGGCCAACCTGTTACTGCTCAGAATGTAAAGTTACTCTGTTTTAATGTTAAGTAAGCCATATATAACATTGAAGTCCTTGGAAGATGTATGTTCCGTCAATTTAGTTTTTAGAACTTGATTAACGTCATTTAACTCCCGACAGCTTTTAATGCATCAATTATATCATCTTCAACTTTGTTGATGGTAAAATCATATTTTTGGGGTTTCAGGGGATGCAAATCGCAGTTTACTCAGAAAATTGAATTCAAGTTTTAACAGATATTTTTCTTGTACACTCTTGCAGGGTTTATGTGATGATTCCGTTATTAATTTATTGAGATTTAAGTTGGAAATATTTCTCTTTTTTGAGTTGACATTTTATGCAATGCAGGTGCTTCCTACCTTAAGCTTGCAGGAGGGCTTTTTGATGATCAGTGAGGTGTCTTTGACATGTCCATCATATTGTATTATGGCCATTTGAGGAAGACAAAGCAAAAATAATGCCTGTTTACTTTTTCTTCAAGTTGTTTGAACCTTTGATATTATTGATGCGGATCCAAATGGATTTTGTAACTTATTGATTCTTCCTCTTGTCGTAGGCCTGGCCCCTTACCTTTTACTATATAGTATATTAAATGGCTGCATCACAAGCATTTTATAGTTCTGATGATAAAGAATGAAGGAGCAGTGAATGCTTGAATGCCAAGTAATATGAGATGCACAAATCCCAAATTTTATCTTTCATTTTTAAATTAAAATCCGTTCAACTATAATTTTTTAGTAATTTACTCTACTTTGATCTAAATAGATCGGTAAATATATAAATATCTATATAGCATATTGATCAAGACTACATTTTTTTTTAATTAGCATTGTAAAAGTTTTCGTGAATTGAATGATCAACATACATTTTTTAAATAACAAATCAACATACATTTTGGTAATTAAGGGCCTTTCCAAGGCAATTTCTTCTTGAGACTGGTTCGAACTCTCGACCTAAAATACCTTGGCTTTAATCCAAGATCAATACAAACCGGAATGGCTTTCCTCCGCTGCCTTAATATCCACTGCTCCTCCTTTTTTTTAAAACGGTGTCGTTTGGTGAAGAAAATGACCCCCCAAAAAAAAAAAGATTGCAAGAAAGGCGTGAATGGGAAATTGCTTATTGATGTTTTGTTTTGGAATATGGTTGAAGAATAAAAATTTAATAATTTTAGCGCACTGACAAAACATGCTATTTCTGGTTTTAAATACAAGCAATTTATAACTAATCTATATCTATAAACAAAAACAATTAAAACTATTAAATTTACCATAAAATTCAAGTGATTTTCAATATCATTCTTATGAACTATTAAATTTCAATATCATTTTTTGGCAACAAATTTCAACATCATATTAATTTATCCTCTATTTTACTACTCTTATTAAATACAAGCATGTATAAAAAATACTATTTAATTTTTTTTTGGCACCAATAAGCTTCTTATAAAAAGACTAAAAATACCCATAGAAAGTATTTTGCAGGATATTTGCTACTTTCTCCTATCTCTATTTTAAGACATCTTCTAAAAAGTATTTTTAGTCCTTTTTATAAAGCATTATACTCTCTCACTATTATTCGTAAATATGAGTATGCATGAAAAAAAATACTATTTAAAATTCTTTTACAGCTAGTAAATTCCTTATAGAATTGACTAAAAATACCTTCTAAAAAATGTCTTATAGTAGCAAGTGCTCTATGTTATAGTAGGGCATTTACTACTTTATCTGATCTTTATTATATGACATCATTTAGAAAATATTTTTTAGTCTTTTTTGAGACATTTGTTAGTGAGAGTAAAAATTAATAAATATTTAAATTTATTATAATTAATAAGGATGATATTGAAAATTACTTGAACTTTATGATAAATTTAATATTTTTATGGCTAAAGTATGCATTTAGTCCTTTAATTTTATAAAGTTTTGATTTAGTCCCTTAATTTTAAAAAGTACTACCTCCGGGCCTTAATATAAGACCCTGTTTGACTTTTATTTTAGTCCTATATATAAGACCCCAATCCACTTTGTTTATCATATTTATACAATTTTTTTCCAAAGTAGCGATTCTAACAATGATAGTTCTAGTCAATACACTTGATTAGCAAGGATATTTTAGAAAAGACAACACCTATTTAGGATAGATAACTAACTCAACATACTTTCTTAATCTCCTCAAATTAGTCAATTGGCTTTTATAATTAGGACCAAAGGTAGTATACTGTTAATCCTTTAACTCTAAAATTGTTAACAAAAAATAATGATATTGAGATTGTAAATATTGATAAATCATTCTCAAATACTAACGTATTAGGTTTAATTTTCAAAACAATTATGATTGTTATAAAAAATCTTCATTTAAGCCTAATGATTTTAGGAGTAAAGAACCAAATGTATGCTTTAAAAGATTAAGGGACCAAACTAAAATCTTGTACAAAGTTAAAAGATCAAATATATACTTTAGCCAGTTTTTATTTATTTTTATTTATACGCCTTATGTTTAAAATAAGAGGGAGTATGTTTTGTCAATGTCTTAAAATTATTAAATTTTTATTCTTCAACCACGTTACCGAACAAAACATTAATCAGCAATTTCCCTTTCACGCCTTTTCTGCAATTTCTTTTTTTCCTTGTCATTTACTTCACCAAACAACATTGTTTTAAATTAAAGGATGGAGTTACTCTTTAACTGGTCTTCCGTTTTGGATACATCATAAGCATTTTATACTTCTGGTGATAGAGAATTGAGTGGTCCATTCCAAAAAAAAAAAATTTAAGTAGCATGGAATGTTTGAATGCCAAGTAATATGAGATGCAAAAATCCCACATTTTATCTATCATTTCTAAATTAAAATCTGTTCAACTATAATTTTTTTTATTAATTTACTTTGCCTTTATCTAAATAAATCTGTAAATCTAGAATATATCTATATAACATACTGATCAAGACTATTTTTTTTAATTATTTTTCAATTAGCATTGTAATAGTTTTCGCGAATTGAACGATTCACATACATTTTTTAAAAACAACAAATCAACATAAATTTTGGTCGTCAAGGGTCACTCTAAGGCAATTTCTTTTTGAGACTAGTTCCAACTCTTGAATTAAAGTAGGAAAAATTTCACTATAGGACCGCATAAGACAATTAATCTCAAAGAGCCCCCAAAACTTTCTAAAATCTCACTGCAGGACCAAGGGGCCAATCTGATATTAATTCCACAAACGAAATGACGCCACTACCCTTAGCATCAGGTGAACCAGTCCACATGTGAACGGACTAATTCCACGTGTGAATATATGTATTTATTCTGCAAATTGGCTAGTTCCCCTTGCAAATGCGCTCTCCCGCACTCGTTCCCTCACGGACGCATGCATCAGGTGAACTAGTCTACATGTGAACGGACTGATTCCACATGTGAATATATGTATTTATTCTGCAAATTGGCTAATTCCCTTGCAAATGCGCTCTTCCGCACTTATTCCTTCACGGACGCATGCATCAGGTGAACCAGTCTACATGTGAACGGACTAATTTCACGTGTGAATATATGTATTTCATCTGCAAATTGGCTAGTTCTCCTTGCAAATGTGTCTCCCACACTTGTTCCCTCACGAACGCATGCATCAGGTGAACCAGTCCACATGTGAACGGACTGATTCCACGTGTGAACATATGTATTTATTCTGCAAATTGGCTAGTTCCCATTGCAAATGCACTCTCCCGCACTTGTTCCCTCCTACTAGGGGCAGTGGCGTCATTTCATTTGTGGAATTAATATCAGATTGACCCCTTGGTTCTGCAGTGAGGTTTCAGAAAGTTTTGGGGGCTCTTTGAGATTAATTGTCTTCTACGGTTCTACAGTGAAATTTTCCCATTAAAGTATCTTAGCCTTAATCCAAGACCAGTGCAAATTATATAGGGGCTATACCTAGTCTATTCTTAGAGGATTAGGACACAGTCCCCATTCAACTGTGCCACAAATACAAATAATCACAGGTATGGGTAAATATTTGTGTTATAACTATTTTTATTTAAATTAATTACACCATGAGGGAAAAAAAGTCTTTCAGATCGGGTAGAATAAGTATTTTACACCAGCTTCTACTGTCAACTGGCATACATATTGGAATTTTTATTTAAAAAAAGATTCATTTGTTAGACCGGGTGAAAATAAGAACCACCAAGGGTAAGTTTATCATTGTATAAACATTAGAAGATATAATATATAATCTTTTAAAACCCTATAATAAAAAGAAAATATTGTAGAACGTATTGTGTGTGGAAACGAAACCAACGTTTTTTATCCTCTAGATTATAGGTCATGTGAAAACTTCATTTTTAGGTGACAAAATTGGTGCCATCTCACATAGAAGACCCAAAAAGAAAAGAAACAAGCAGAATAAAACAAGACTAAGACAGTAAAACAAATGACTTATTACCAATGAAATTAGAAACATAAATTATTATATCGCTAATATCTGATAGAAATTTCATCCCTAATATTATTGACGAATTAGTGACAAAATTTTTATTAGCCATAGAATTTCATTTCATCGCTAATGCATTATTAATTCTATCATCAGTTTTTGTAGGAAAATTTTGTGACAGACTCAGTCACAAAATTTTTCCATCACTAATTGTTGTCACTACTTTTATTGTTAAATTGCTTGCCATGAAATTTTTTATCACTAGTTTCATTACTAAATCTGTTTTATGGTTAATTTCAAATTTCATTATTTTATATTTTCATAATATAATAATTTAAATATATTTTAATTATAAAAAAATTGTTATGTTTGTGAAGTTGGTGCTAATAAAAGCATAATCATTATTATTCTCATCATTAGACACTTACTAAGACAAAAAGATGATTTCTTATAAAACTTATTTTATGTTTCATTAAAATCAATTTCCCATGATCATTAATAATGAGTAAAATATAATGAGAACAAAATAAGAATAATTTTCTGATGAAAATTAATATAACAAAAATAAAGATAGATTTTCATTTTTCTGTTGAAATTTATACTCACCATTTTTTCCTTTATCGGTACAGAAAATTCTCAATCATGTTAAACCAGAAACAAAAATAAAGTATTTTTATTTCGACATCATATTATTGACAAGAAGGAAAAAAAGAGTGTATCTGAAGGATTTTCAAGACTTTCCGGAATACTTTAATTACTTTAGACAATAATAACATTATTGACAAACTTTGACTTGGAATAAAAAAGAGTTGATGACCAAACTTTTCCATTATTTCCTGCAAATTTATGTCACCTTTAAACAATAAACTATTACAGATGCCGTGCAATGCCCTGGTTGTGAAAATAATTTCTTATAATAAGTGTTATTTGGAATTCATGCTGGTGAACATTTATTAGTAGGATTTAAGGAAATTTGCTGAAGGAAAATTCTCATCAACATATACACCTATCATCTGCATAAATATCCTGATTTTCTCTTCTCTAGATCAAAACTGGTTCAATTAGATGAATATCGCTCATCAAATAGAGATTAA